TGTTTCCCCGTCTCTTTCTAGTTGGGAGGGAGTGTGTTCACGACCAGGCTAATGTCCAGTTCATCAATCAACACGACACTTTCAATATTAATCCATTTTGCTTTCACCCTGCTAGTACAGTTGTCAGTTCAATCTATAGCTATTGTCCCACAGCCTAACCACCTTATGTGTGGCTACTCACCACAATAATACTCGTGGCTGCCATAGCATCTAGCGCACCTTTGGACCACAGCACCCAGAGCATGGGCGAACCTTACAAACGAATCTACCACACATATGACATGAGTGTCTGTCTCACCTCCAGAACCACAGCTCATCACCCTTCCACCATGCGACCAGACGCCATCTGAGGCTGGGTCTGTTCCACGCTGGGATTATCGCGTATAACCTAGCTTTCTGTAGCCCAAACATTCACCTTTACAAGGCCAAGTCAAAGACCAACGCCCAATATAAAGGATGCTTCCTGAAACTATCAAGCGACGGCAAACCGCATCATCGCAACTATTGGAAATTTTTTAACACTCACAACCGTCAGAGCGATCGGTAGGAGTATTATCTGCCATGCAGTTTCCATACTAATGATTATAAGAACATTATACTGTAGTACGTTGCTGTATGGGATGAGAGGGCTAACTCTGAAAGTAATCAAGCGCATAATTTTTTATCGGGCAGTGTGAACATAGACAGTTGCATAAAATTTATGCGGTTCCATGGTAACGAACACTGTTAGCAAACTTTGTGATAAGCAATATAAGTGGCATGTAGAAGGTTTTAAACCAAACCTAAAGGACAGCAGTGTTAGATGATTTGTATTTTGGACCTGCATGACTTAGTGCACCAAGGCATAATTTACTTTTGTAGTGTGCTGCGGAAATCACAAAGGGCTATATGCAGAGCACTTCAGACGAGGATTCTGAAGATATATTATTTGTTGACATTGACTAGTTATAACCCGTATTTACGTATATACCCTAGGAATTTCAGGGTATAGTCCGCATAGAGTGTAAACGTGACGTCATGTCATAAGACCGGTCAAGCGTGAAGAATTTTAGCAAGTGTGGGTGTGCACCGCTCGCTGGCGCAGCGACGAGTGGACGACACACGCGCATGCGCATTAATCTAGCCGGCCCAGGCAGCCTGGTCAGACAGCTGGTGTGACAAGCATAAAGGGCACGGATCGAGAACGCGCTAGTTCGCTGGCTAACTCGCTAGGGGTTGAGGTGTGTTCTTCCTCTTTGCAACGAGTTTACTCAACGATGTTGGAGATCGTCTGTTGGAGATTGTAGGCTACTTCACGTCTCGCAGAGGAAACCGGTGAGAAGTTGTGCGCACATAAGTTTTTTGCTCCGTTTTTTGCAGGTTTCCGCCTAGGAGAAGAAGGCAGCGGGCTGGTGCGATGAACTACTTGAAGCGCAAGGATTAATGGGTGCGAGGAACGATGGTGGGTCCAGAACTGTGCAAGAAAGGGTCGCAGGAAGTGAAGTGAGGGCAACAGCGGTTAACAAACTCAGGAACGGGGGGTGGAGGAGAGGTGGGAAGAGGTAAGGGATGATGGTGGGTCAGGAACAGTGGAAGCGAGGGTGCAAGGGAGTGAGGAGGTGAGGGGTGACAGTGAGAGGGTGCAGGGGAGTGAGGAAGCCGGAGAGGTATGCGGACCATCATCAAGTTCATTGCGCAGCAGCGAGGAAGTCGCAGCAGCTACCAAGCGACGAAGGCTCTCCGAAATTACTGCCATGGGTGATGAACCACTTCAAGCTTAGCTTGACAGTCTTCCCCGAGAGGACCTGCAGCACATGGCACTGCTACTGTATACAAGGCTTCCAGCTATATTCAGTCTCAAGACAACAGACACAGCTGCTGCTGTTGGGGAGATTCTCCAGAGGAATGAACGCACCATCAGACGCTGGGTTGACGCCTTTGCATCGAACAGTGGAGACTTTTCAGACTCGCAACAAGGCCACTACATTAGAAACAACCCGCTAATGTTGAACGAGGAAATCTGCGAGAGGGCGAGAGTCTACGTACGGGAAAATGCTGCTCCAAAAGGTAGACCAAACCTTACAGCTGCGGCCTGCGGCCTTCTGTCAGTGGGTGAACAACGAAATGCTACCAAATTTCACCCATGATCTTGTTCTCCACATGTCAAAGGGGTGTTCATTGATGGCCATGAACGCCCGGATCTGAAAAAAATGAAAAGCACTGAAGTGCAAACCCTCGGCGAACTGTGACGCACAATCGTAAGTAAACGTATGCACCGTACCACTAATTGATGGGCTGGGTTTAGCTTTAGCTGTTACTCGTGGTCCCTTGCCAGCTCTCACGCAGAGTCTGACGCGGTCTAACTACACTACTAGATAGCATGCGAGAGGCGATACACGCCCTGCGTTGCATCTTCTGGTGACTCCGAGGTACGCAGAGCACGCGGGTCGATCATGCCGTAGTAAGCCGTTGTGTATTTGCATATTGGCTTTTTCGCGCTCTAGCTTTGCAACGGAGCGTTTTCAGAGAAAACCGTTCGAAATTTCTGACCTTCATTGCCCGTTCAGTAGGTGGTATCCTTTGCGAGACAAACAAACACCCGAGAAGTGAGATTGAGAGTAACAGACACACAGACCCAAGTACTGTAACCCTCGCTGCGCATGCGCGCCGAAGGTTAATGATGGAATGTGGATTTCTCCGTCACGACAATGCTCCCACGGAGGAAGCTGCTCGAGCTGATGTTCCACACATTTCGAAGGAAGGGGGAGAAAAGCGCATTGTGCGGTTCCACGACGAGAGTGCCTACAACACAACTGAAGACACGCCCAAAGGGGAAAGGTTCATCCAGTGCTGTGGGAGGAAAAGGGAAAATTGCCCATCAAGCCAAAGGGGAAAGGTTCATCTATCATGGTGTCAGAGTTTATCGAAGAGAAGGACGGCTACTTGGCACTCTCAGACGAGCAATATGAGTTCGAGGTAACAATAGTGGTGATGGTGTTCAGAAGTCTGCCCTTGCCGTCCTGGAGATCGGAGAGAACCGTGAAGGATACTGGAATGCTGACCGTTTCATGGAGCAGGTTGCCAAGGCTGTGAAAATAGCTGAAGTCAAGTATCCATCATCACAGGGTTACCACCACATCTGGTGCTTTGACCACAGCTGAAACCACACTGCTCTGATTGCTTCCAAGATGGACAAAGGCCACGGGGGAAAACAGCCGAAGATGCGAGACACTGGACAACCACCAACCATGACTCTGCTTGACGGACGACCAAAGGGAGCGGCCCTTGTTCCCGAGGAGAGGGGTTATGACACAAGAGGAATGAAGCTGGAAGACATGCTAGCAATAGGCCTTTTCGTTTAAGAGGCTGAAATATGCAATTACGCGTAATTGCTATTGACGTCACCACTGGAGTACATTCCTTCACGCCGGCAGGGGCGTAATGTATGGCAGCCTGCGGCAATAGTGTACACAGCGCGCAGCGCAATACGCTACCGTATATGCAGTATCTGCCGAAAAGTTTAACACTAGGACTTTGCCCTCCAAGTTATTCGATTATCGTAGCGTCTTCGAAACCTAAGATATGGTCGTGCAAAGTCTGCTAGCTTTAAGTCATGGTAGAAGAGTAGAAGAGTAGAGAGGAGGACAGCGACGGTAAAAACCAAGAGCCATGAGTGAAACTAAGTTAGCCAACCTCGGGTAAATGTATTGAGACGCTTGGCAACTAATGTAACGAGAAAGGAGGAGAAATAGGCGGTGAAAAAATGGTTGTTGTAAGTCTATCTTGCCTACAAAAGGGCACAAAACGTTCACCAGATGTTCTCTTACTTACCTTGACACATGAAAAGCACTGAAGTGCAAACCCTCGGCGCACTGTGACGCGCAGGCGTAAGTAAACGCATGCGTTGTACCACTAAATGATGGGCTGGGTTTAGTTTTAGCTGTTACTCGTGGTCTCTTGCTAGCTCGCGCAGAGTCTGACGCGGGCTAACTACACTACTAGATAGCATGCGAGAGGCGATACACGCCCTGCGTTGCATCTTCTGGTGCCTCCGAGGTACGCTGAGCACGCGGATCGATCATGCCGTAGTAAGCTGTCGTGTATTTGTATATTGGCTTTTTCGCGCTCTAGCTTTGCAACGGAGCATTTTCAGAGAAAACCCCACAAACTTTCTGACCTTCGTTGCCCGTTGAGTAGGTAGTATCGTTTGTGAGACGAAAAAACATTGGGGAAGTGAGATGTCGAGTAACAGACACACAGAAGGACAGACAGACAGACCCAAGTACTGTAACCCTCGCTGCGCATTCGCGCCGAGGGTTAATAACTCTTGCCTTCAGAAGTTGGCTTTCGCTGTCTCTATCGCTCCACGTTACGTGAAAACTAGTTGACTTTGCGCGTCTGTATATTTGGTGCTACAATCCTGGCTCCACTTGGAGGACGAAGTCCTTGCGTTCAACGACAAATAGCGCTATAAAAGAATATACGGTAGCGTATTGCGCTGCGCGCTGTGCAAAAATTCGCATTATTCCCGTAGACTGCCATACATACGCTCCTGTGAAACGCCAAGAACGTACTCCGGATGTTGACGTCACGCTACATAGCGCACATACCTCTCGATAAAATGAAAAGGTCTATTCTAGCTGATCATGAGCACTTCAAGAGGGGAAAATGTGGTGTTGACCGATTTCTAAGCAAATCTGGTCTTTCATCACGAAGTTTCACTGCGAGCTCAACCCAATTGAGTCTCAGAGGAAGCGCTACACAAGGGCCTACTGCGATTACACCATCGGCTCTCTTCGACGAAGCATTCCTCTGGGGTTGAAGAGCATTTCAAAGGAGAATATTGTGCGACGTTGCAGGAACTATATGTTTTCTTATCAGGAGGGATCGAATGTCGGAAAGGAACTAGAAGAGAAGATCACATTCTACAAATCAGTTAGCTACACATCACAGAGGAGGGTCGGTATCAATGACTGTACACAATAACATTTGCAAAATGAATACCCTACTGAGGAATATATAGGACATATGGTAAGCCATAGTACGTTTATTAAGTGGGTAAGGAAGGCCGAGTGGGGGTTGGCTCTTCCGCCTTTCTTAAACCCCTTAGTTCTTCCTGCACCCAATTACAGATAACTCATGCTTGCAACCAGAAAGGCACTGCAAATATTTATATCCATGTTGCTGGGTTGTGGGAACATTAAAGGGAACAGGGAAGTGAGTTTGGCCAATCATAAAGCCACAGTGCGGTCCTTCATGCTTTATATTCAGCAGTGTTCTTTATTTGGAGGATTGTGCCTGATTTATAGTATAACTATATACTATTAGGTGGTTGTGCTGTGGGTGCAAGAAGTTAAGTGGAACAGGGGAAGGAGTTTGACTAACAAGAAGCCACAGTAAGTTCCTGATTTGCAAAGCAAGTGGTCTCAAGCACCTGGTATTCATACATAAATTAGTGTGAAACTGGTGCAGCATTTATGGTTTGGGGGTACTTAAGCTCAGCCAGTAAGGTTATCTGTGCACTCCTGCTTTCCCCTGGCCAGCTGAAGGCACCAGCTCACAATAATGAAGGCCAGTTGCATTGCATTCACTACACGTATTTTAGTCTCCTTTTTGTATATATAGCCAACCCTATTGACATGTCATGCAGATAAAAAAGTTTGTCTACAAGCTACACCCATACAGATTGTTTTTTACTCTATAGTCACACCTATTGTCACTACTCAGGTCACTACTCTTGTGCCTGGCTTTTCGGGTATAGGACAAATCAGATAGTCAGGTATAATAATCAGTTTGTGAATGCTTGTCAAGCTATACACATATTATTGTTGTTATACTCTATAGTCAAACCACTCAGATCATCCTCGTCCTGGCCTTTCATTTAGGGGAACTTTAGCTATAGGAAATGAAAAGCACTAAAGTGCAAATCCTCAGCGAACTGGGCTATTAGCCTTGCATTTACTCGTGGTCTCCCACTAGCAACTAGAGTAGAGTCTGACAACGGGCTAGCGAAAGTAATAGATAGCTTGCGGGAGTCGATACACGACCTTCGTTGTGACTTCTTGATACACAGAGTGAGCTGTCGAGGTAAGCCTGTGCTAATTTGCACAATGGCTTTTTCACTTGGTTTTCACGCCATAAATTTGAAAGGCAGTACTTACGAAAATTGCCATGTAGCACTGAACCTGGGTTAATAACAATCAGTGTAGGTTTATCTAACCTGGTGTCATCACTGGGAGTTTCTATTCTCTCTTCACCCCGACTCTCACACAGCCTGGAGTCTAGGGTAGTCAGAGGTGATGAGCTGCACGGAAAGTAAGAGAGTGTATAGACAGACACACACACACACACACACACCAAGTACTACAACCCTCACTGCGTATGCGCACCGAGGGTTAATAAAATTGCCCAAACTGTATATACAAACAAAGATAAACTCCTTGCATTGTGCTTGACACTGAGCATTTTGCGTCCAAGGGAGACACACTTTACAGGTTTGAACACTCTTCAAGGAGCGGCTCATCCTGGAAAAAAGAATTGACCAAATATCCATAAACAGAGTGAGTGCACAAGCAAGTCAAGCTTGAAAGCAATTTTTATCACCGTCCAACTGCACACACACAAATATTGCGCACTTCTTTTTATGCAAAATGATGTTTAAACCTTGAGAGACTCAATGCATGCGGTGAGAGACTATGTTTGCTGCGCTCTCCAACGCCTGTGGCTGAGGCTCGGGTTGGTGAACTTGCGAATCCAAGTGTCATGTGAAAACAAACCATTCACACATTGTCTATCAACTGGCAAGGAGTAGTAGGCTCGCACCTGCTATCATGCATTCGCCTTCTAGTATTTTACATGATAGATGTGAGTGGCTACATGCATGTCTGAGTAGCCACAAGAACACATTCACAAGCCACGAGTGTGGACACATATATATGTGACGTGTACACGGAAACGTAATGAAATGATTGGCTTTCGCATACAGGTCAGAAGGGGCTAATTCTGATAATTTTGGTGTTTGTATAATATACCTGATGGGAGGCCAGAGGCATTCTAGAGTGAGTCTATCTACCAACTTTTGATGGGTCTCTCCAAATACTCCTTCACCTATTAGTCATGCAGCTAAGTATATACACACACGCTGGCTGCTACAGCGCTCAAGCGGCACCCCTCTCGATCGCTTCTCTTTGTAACGTGGAGTAATAGCAACCTGGACGAATACAGAGACAAGCAATATACTGCTCGTAGTTGCACGATTTTATATTCGACACCAATGCCATGGATAGATTTATCTAAAGCGTCAAAAACCATCCGTATGCGATCATCAGCAAGGTGAACATCGACTATTTACAGCCGTGTGTATATACCAGAGCAAGTATGTGGAAACATTGTGTTTGGGCCTAGTCGAACGGGCTAGGGCTAGGGCTCCGGACATTGTCCTCTACTTGTCCTCTCGAGCGAAAAAAATTTCATTTTCCGTCCTCCGAGCCCGAGGGAAGTCCTTTGGGAGTCCCCCCCCCCCCCGTGCAGTGGACGACACGTAGTGGGGCCAGCCGACGAGTCCTCCCACTTTAAAGATAATGGACGAAAACCGCCCGCTCTGTGGAAGAGTGCATGAAACTGTCCCACAGGAAAATGCACAATCTTCCACGCTCACCGGAGGAGATTAGAATCAACAACTACAACCCTCTCCTCCTCATGCTGTGGAAGGCCAACATGGACTTGCAGTACATTGGCGAGTCCTCACTGGCAATTGCCCAGTACGTCACAGGCTATGTGACCACGGCAGAAAGGAGCAACATAACATGCAGGACCTCTGGCAGGAGGTGTCCTCTCACTCCTCACTGTACAGCAAGCTGTGGTCATTCGGTGTGCGCAGTCTGCGCTCCAGGGAGTGTGGCCTGTACGAGGCCAGTGACCTCCTCCTTGGAGACCACTTGTGCGAGAAGTCGCAAACCATCAAGTGGATCGATGTGTCTCAGCCTCACCACAGAAGGAGGAGGCTGATGAACCACTCAAAGCTGGTGGAAATGCGGGAGAGAAATACCGAAACAACAGACATCTTTGAGGACAACCTCATTGATACACACTATCCTCAGAGACCAGATGGTATGGAGGATGTTTGCCTGTACGACTTTGTTGCCGAGTACAAAAAGTCTGGTGTTGACAATGACGGCAACCCAGTGTACAGCATGCTCACCAAACCCATCCTCCCAAATCACAGAATGTTTGACCCCAGCAGGGAGAACAAGCGAGAAAACTACTTTTACTCTCTCCTGCTGCTTTTTGTGCCGTTTCACAACGAGGCAGACCTCATTGAAGAGGGAGAGACTGGCGAGACTGCGTTCAATCGCCACATGGCCGAAAACGATTCATTGAACATGCACTCGGAAAAGCTTCAGAGAATGCTGAAAGTCAGAGAGAGCGTGAAAAAGATTGATGAGGCCAGGCAGGCACAGGAAGAGGACGTCACAGACTCCAAGCCATTGGAGGATGATGACGAGCGTCTACAAGGTTATATGCGCCTCGGTCACTATTGCATCATTTCGTGACCGACCACTCAGAATCTGAAACCGAAGACGGTCCTCAGGTGGCAGGTGAAGCAACGTCAGCCATGCATGACGTACTCGACCTCCAGCAGAACGAGAGTGACAGACCTAGCCTGGTGGAGCTAGTGTCGTCACTTAATGCAGACCAGTCGCGTGTGTACGAACACCACCTAGAGCACCAGGTCTTACACGAGTGTGACTGTTGCCAGTGCAAAGACTTGAAACCACTGCACATGTTCGTCAGTGGTGTTGGTGGCACTGGCAAATCGTTCCTCATCAAAACTGTTTGTGCACTTGTGTCCAGACTGTGGGACAGCATGACTAACTCCACCGCGTGTGCAGTTACTGCTCCGACAAGACTTGCAGCCTTTAATGTGGGTGGAGTCACCATCCACTGGCTGCTTCAACTGCCGATAGAGCACGAAGGCAGAGCAGCCGGCTACTGGAGACTGGGCAAAGAGGCGATGTGTGCCTCCCTCTCCCAGCTTCGTCTGTTGATCATAGACGAAGTATCCATGGTATCCAGTCTGAACCTGGCATACATTCACCTCCGTCTCGACGAGATCTTTGCTCGAGAGTGGTTTGGTGGAGTTAACATTCTGTTTGTGGGAGACATTCTGCAACTCCCACCAGTGAACGGAGAACCGGTGTTTGAACGCATCTGCAACAAGTCCATCACCACCAAACTTGGTTGCTTGACATCGGTGAACATCTGGCAGGACAGTGTGGTCTACGACGAGTTGACCATCAACGAACGCCAGAAGAAAGACCAGGTGTTCAGCTCCATGCTGGATGAAGTGCGACGGGGATGCCCGTCACAGAAAACTGTCCAAGCTATCAAATGCAGAGTCATTTCTACACCAGTTGTAGACAAGTTTGAGGAGCTGATGGCCTCGGGTCAGTCTCCACTCTGCCTTTGCCCAACACGTCAGGCGTGCTACGACTTCAACTCTGACATGCTGTCCAAGCAGGGGTCAGAGGTGAAGGAGATCGTGTGTTGCCGAGGTCGACGAGACAATAGGCACGTTCAAGTGGAGTAAGAAAGCCACTCAGGCAATGGAGAAACTGAATAACGACTGCAACCTGACAGCTGGACTGGAGGCTGTGCTAAAGGTGGCAGTTGGAGCTCGTGTCATGCTTCGCAGGAACATTGACACCGGCAGCTGACTGGTGAACGGAGCATTTGGTACTGTGATCTCAATTAAAGCCCACCATATCACAGTACAGTTTGACGGAATGACACAGCCTTACCCTGTCGAGAGGGTAAAGGGCAGGTTCGTGGTGCTGAAGTTCAGCGGAAATAATTCCCACTCATCCTGGCATTTGCCGTCACTGTGCACAAGTGCCAGGGTTTGTCGTTGGACTGTGCCATCATGGACCTGTCCAAGCAAGTGTTTTGTGCAGGCATGGCATATGTGACACTGTCACGTGTGAGACAAATGCAGAACCTGCATTTGATTGCATTTGATGAAGAGGCAATCAAGGTCAGTGCCAAGTGTCTGCAGGAGATCAATCGGTTGAGGGAGACGTACCGCCCAGACCTGCCACAGTACTCTGTGCCCAGGGAGAAGAAAGGCACTGCACAGAACCGAAAACGGAAGATGAGTGGCAGTCTGGACAGACTTGTCCCCTATCTCAAGAAAACTATGACCAGTCGGAACACCAAGGGAGCTGACGTGAAGGGTGCACAACCACCTGTGTGTACTCTCAAGAAAACTAAGACCAGTCGGAACACCAAGGGAGCTGACGTGAAGGGTGCACAACCACCTGTGTGTACTCTCAAGAAAACTAAGACCAGTCGGAACACCAAGGGAGCTGACGTGAAGGGTGCACAACCACCTGTGTGTACTCCTTCCACTCAGCCTCAGCCCCAGGTAGCTGACGTGAAGGGTACACAACCACCTATGTGTGCTCCTTCCACTCAGCCTCAGCCCCAGGTGGAGGAAAGAGCGACCACCAGTGTCTCTCTCAAGGAAGAGACTGCAGGCAGCAAAAGGAAACTTGAGCCTGCAGATGCTGCACAAAGTGAACCTCCGCCAAAGAAAAATGCGGAAAGTCCTGCGAGAGAAAGCCGTTCAGTTCACAGTCGGCAGAGATACAACCCGGTGTCTGTAGACTGGCAGCAACAGGCATGTCAGCAACTGGGTTTGCCCTTTGTTAGAGCCAATGGTAGCACACCAGGTGGCGCAGATGTTCCCCTGAAACGTCCCACGAAGTGCAAAACAGTTAGAGGTGATGGAAACTGTCTGTTCCGTGCTCTTTCCCATGCCATTACAGGTTCTGACAGAGAGCATTCCAGACTCCGCTCTCAGATTGTTGAGCACATCAGGTCACTGAGACGAGATGGCCTCAGCGAAAGTCTGGAAACCACTCTGATCGGCTACAGTGTGGAGGATCACTTCAGACAGCACAGAATAGACCAGGATGGTAGTTGGGGTACGGACGTTGAGGTAGCTGCCCTATCTCATCTCCTAGGCACCAACATTGCTCTGTACGACATACCAACTGGTCAATATGTTACACATGGGTGGACCATATCTAGTAGACCCTTCTCAACAGGTCGATAACACGAGGCCCACAATCTACATGACATTTACTGGCAATCACTTTAATTTTGTAGAAGAGTAAATACTGTAAGTGCTAATAACTGTACCTATTGTTCTCTGAGAGATACAGCTGTCCTCAGCTGCCATGAGAGGAGCCACTGGTGGGACAACAGTGTCAAGTGAAGCCTTGGCAAGAAAGGGTATTGGAGAAGGTGGTGGAGGAGGCCATTACATCACCTAATGAGATAAGTATACAGCAGTACACACTGAAAACAGTTCCTTCAGACTTTTAAGGAGGTGAAGGAGGTGGAGGAGGGTTTTATTTTCTTAAAAAGTGTACTGCAAAGACAATAGGCCACACTTTGAAACAGTTGTGTGCTGTATGTACAAGTACAAGTGGTGGCCGAAGAGAGTGTGTGTGGTGGTCTGTGTATGTGAACATGGGATCTTGAAGACATCGAGGAATGTCCCAAAAGAGGTTGTGCTCGAAACAAAAAGAGAGCCACAAATTTTTTTAAAACTGTGTGTTATACATGATATGATAATGATGTTTGCAAAGGGGTGGGGCTGTGTCTGACAGTGAGGGGGTATTCTCTCCTGCTATGTCAGACATGCATTTGCTAAAAAACTTGTTTCTACACAGTGGTATTGAACAGCCACCGATCTTCTCCTTTTCCCACCTAGGACAGTGACAAGGATCTTTCTTGAAGCGGGAAATGTCTTTGCGACAAGGAGGACAGACCAAGCTGGCATTGATGCCCAGTGTTGTGCCCTACAAGATTCATCCCTCCATGACATGGGCGTACATAGATTTGTGTGTACTTGATTGCATAAACTGCTGGCTGGCTTATTTGTGGTGTAGTGAATGCCAGCCGTCTTTTGCTTGAGCTTCTAACTGTGTTTAACTATATAGTTTTCATGTATATTGGCTTACCAACTGCTATAGCGCTTATACAATGTCTTCCTTGAGGTTACTGCTGTTTGCACAACTAATTGGCGAGCGGGAGCGAGCCAACCTAGTCATTCGTTCGAGCGGAATTTCCTATATATATAATTATTGCCGAGCGGGAGCGAGCAAACCTAGTGGTCCGAACGGCGCGATTTTTCTATATATTATACGACTGCTATACGACTGAGCGGAAGAAAGGGAAGCACGACTAGTGACAAGTCATGTACGAGCAAGAGCTACACATGCTGCGGAATCAGAGGAAATGCAACAGGCCAGGCTCCAACAGATCCGAAGCTATCAGACAAGGCGAATTGCAGTCATTGTGTGCGCGCTCCCGCTCGCCAAAAATGCCATACATTCGCATACTAGTTGGCGAGCGGAATTTTCGGTATATATATATATATTATTATTCCAGGAGTGGGCAGTGGAGGCTGACATTCATGTTCAGATAAGTTTCTGACCCCATTTGAGTAGGATTTGTGCATAAACACATGCATGACCTTTGAACCACGTGCAAAGGCTAGAGATGGAGAAGGGTTCCTCACACGATATTCGCCACAAACGTCACACATACTTACGTATTATAGCTTATGAATTCATTTTCCGTCGCAGTGTCGAGCCGAGTTTTATTTTATGCACTGCTTTTGTCTACTCTTCTCTCTTACTTACAGGTCACCCGCACCAGTGAACAAAGCCGAGGTTGCAGAGTACACATGCAGACAGTCTTTAGTGTGCTGTAGACTGACACCTTGGAATAGGATGATGCATTCTTCTTGTACATATTATAGTCTGATGATGTTTGTCACCATTGTGCTCTGTGCAAACACTACACTCGAGTAAACAAGCAATAATTGCAGCTGCCATAACTGCAGCTGCAATTATGGCAGCTGCCATGTTATATAAATAGTGGTGCCATATCGCAGCTGTCCCTTAGATCTACGAGGACAACTAGGATGGCTTTACCTTACGGTTAGCAAAACTTTGAAAGTGCTCCTAGATTTTTGTCCTACACCGCAGGATGAGGTGAACCAAATAAGTAAGTTTGCACAAAACAGTGTCAAGTCAGTCAGGTTCACATTTTTCTCTCTAGAAAAACTCTGACTCCCTCCCCATACCAAAGTGAGTATATAAAGATATTCAGATATTCATACTCCCCCCTTTGAGGAGTAACAGTCTCTCTCTCTGTCTCCCTCTGGTTTTCCACCTGCAGATCATCCTCCAAGGACAAAGTGTAAGTTAATGCATATTTCATATGGAGTTACTTTATTTCTCCCTCCAGCTGAAACTCCCTATATGGAATTGTGGGTAAGTTTATGCGCAGTTGTTTATGCACTTTCTCGAACCCTTACACCCCTCTCTCCTTCGATTTGTACAGAACCTCAGGATGAACGTGAGTTAAGCAATCTCATAGCAAGGGTCACACTAAATTGCAATTCCAGCCCCAACTCCTCCAAGGACCATGAGCAAGTTTATACATAATTGGCGAGTTGGTTCGTTCGAGCGGAATTTTCGGTGTATATATAATTATATATCGTCGTTGGTACGTCATGTTAGTGCGCATGTGCGGCTTCTTACGCGCTTCTTTTTATCCGAAATAATTTTAACATTTTTACACATTTCACACAGACACGCTGCCTCGCCGATCGATCTAGCCAGCCAGAGAATTCTTCTCCATTCGATGGCATGCGATGCAACCTTCGGTGACTGTACCTCTTCCCAATTTTCATGGTTCGAAGGTGCAACTTCAAAGTAAGCTAGGATTGCTCGTGCAGATACTGCTGCATGCCAGCTGCCACGACTCTGAAGGTAAGTATACCATTCTGCTCACCTGCTCACCGTTCTGCCAATGTACACTACGCATGTAACGGCGACAGGTAGATCTGCTTGTTGGGTCGCTCCCGCTCGCCAACAATGTTCAACATTTCCACTAGTTTATTATACACAGATGTGCACTTTCTCTTTCCCTATCACCTCTCTCCCCTTTACTTTCTACAGTTCACAACGATGAAGATCGAAGATCGTGAGTTAAGCAATCTCATAGCAAGGTTAACACTAAAGATTTTCCCTTTCCTCCAGCCTACAATATACCTACTGCAGAGAGTAGGTTTATGCATAATTTATACACATTAATATGCACTCCCCCCTTTATACTTTCTGCAGCAGACGATGAAGACCGTAAGTTTCGCAATCTCATACCAAGGGTCACACTAAAGCCTTTACCTTTCCAGTACCAACTCTTGATTATGCATAATTTATACACATTTATGCACTTTATCTGTCCCTTGTCTACTTTTGACTGTTTCAGTGGCAGTGGGCCCACCCCCTCCCCCACAACTCCCTCCTCTCCCAGTGGCTCTCCCAGTGCCCGCTCCCCCGCAGCTCCCTCCTCCTCTCCCAGTGCCCGCTCCCCCACAACTCCCTCCTCCCCCAGTGGTTCTCCCACTTCACGGAGTGCCCTCTCCCCCTCGCCGCCCAGGAGCAGGTAACCTTATTGCATTATGGTGTGTTGATTTACATTTTCACGCAGGCACAAGAGGTAAATTCATCCTTCAAATACAGCAACACTTTTAGAACATTTAATGCATACTCAAACAGTAAATAAGTGCTTTTGCATCGGACTATTTCAGTTACTGGTCTAGGATAACCTGGTGTGAAGCTGTCGTAGTAGCTAGATTTTGCTGTGCTGGCGATGACCTTTGACCTCTGCACAACGTTGACGTTACAGTGGCCTTTGACCTCTAGATGACGTTGCCGTTACGCGCAGAGGCTCCGTTAGTACACTACGGCGTGGGTCCGTCTACTTAAGGTGATCCCAGAACCGAACGGCACTTACCTTACGCTCAGTCGTGGTCCACCAGGCAGCTGGCATGCATCAGTATGTGCACGAGCAATCCTGGCGTATTTGCAAGTTGCACCTTGGAACCATGAAGATTGGGAAGAGGTACAGCCTCGGTCAGTCGCGCATGCCGTTGAATGGAGGAGAGTTCTCTCGCTAGCTAGATCGATCAGCGAGGCACTGTGTGTGAAAATGTGTAAAAAATTTGGAAATTAGTTTCGGATAAAAAGAAGCACGTACAAAGCCGCGCATGCGGACATACACGACGTACGACATACAGAAAATTCCGCTCTCGAACGAACGACTAGGTTGGCTCGCTCCCGCTCGGCAATAAACTGTAGTTTACTAGTAGGCGAATGCAGGGCATTTTTGGCGAGCGGGAGCGAGTACACAATGACTGTATCTGCACGAGTCATCCTAGCCTATTTAAAACTTGAACCTTAGAACCACGAAGATTGGAAAGAGGTATATACATACAGCCTTGTTCAAGAGCGCAGCGAATCCCAGCAAATAGACGGGAGTTCTTTCGCTGGCTAGATTTCCCATCGATATGACAGCTAGGCAAGAGACGCTGAATGATACAGACGAGCCTCGAGCACGACGTTCTCTTTCCCTCTCTCTTCGACGACGAAGGGCATCATTTTCTCTGGACTGATCTTTCCATGATTGCGAGAGTACGCAGCTACACACACGCTCGTACATGTTTACGCACGACATTAGCATGTGAAAATATTTCGGATAAAAAGAAGCACGTAATCCTTACGTATGGTCGTAGAAAATCCGCGCCACTAGGTTAGCTCGCTCCCACTCGCCACTAGTAGGCGAATACATGGCATTTTTGGCGAGCGGAAGCGAGCTTGCAAATGGGGTGTAATCGTATGAGTCACTCTTGTGTGTGCACAAAACAGTGAAATACATTGCACAGGACCAAGTAAGCCGAAATAATTCGAGTCGAGTGAAAGACGACAGCGCGAATCAGGCATAATCCAGCAATCTGATTGGTGTTGCAGGAATAGGGAACAAGTGGCAATGCACCAGATCGCGCCGTTCGGACCATCTTCTCCTCACACGCTCGCAAATTATTTTTATTATTATTATTACTAGTAGGCGAATGCATGGCATTTTTGGCGAGCGGGAGCGAGCACACAATGACTCTATCTGCACGAGCCATCCTACAACTTGAACCACGAATGTTGGAAGGAGGTATAGACAGCCTCAGTCAGGTATCGAAGAGCGCAGCGAGTGGCAGCAAATAGACGAGAGTTCTTATATTTCGCATCGATATGACAGCTAGGGCAGCGTGTAAAAATGTGCGCGTTCCCTATCATGAAAGTGACGCTGATACAAACAAGCCTCCCTGCTCAGGAGTCTCACGGGCATGATGTTCTCTTTACCTCTCTCTTCGACGACGAAGGGCATCTTCCCCGGACTATAAGCACATGTATACGCACGACATCATCACAGGCAGGCAGCATGTGAAAATTTGAAATCCTTTCGGATAAAAAGAAGCGCGTAATCCTGGAGCATGCGCAGTTGGACGACGTGCGGTCGTAGATAAATAATTAAATAAATAAATATAATATTATAGAAAATCCGCGCCGTTCGTACCACTAGGTTAGCTCGCTCCCGCTCGCCAATAAACGGTCATTATACATTCCTTCCCACATAATAGCTCACTGATTATTTGCATCTAGATCCTGTCCGACTGGCGACTGGCGATCCCTCCAGATTGTATGCGAACATGTAGTTCCTGCAACAACGCACAGAGTTCACAATGTTCTCTTACGAATGCCCTATCATCACTGTCTGTGAAAAACGCGCATTCAGTCATTGATACCAACCCTCTTGTGTGACGAGTAGCTCGCTGATTTGTAGAATTTAATCTTCTCCTCTAGTTCCTGTCCAATTGCCGATCCCTCCAGATAAGCAAACATATAGTTCCTACAACGACGCACATAGTTAGCTATGTTCTCCTTTGAAACGCTCTTCAGTCCCAGAGGAATGCTTCGTCGAGAGAGCCAATGGTGCAGTCGCAGTAGGCCCTTGTGTAGCTCCTTTGAAACGCTCTTCAGTCCCAGAGGAATGCTTCATCGAAGAGAGCCATGGTGTAGTCGCAGTAGGCCCTTGTGTAGCGCTTGCTCTGAGACCAAACATGCTCAATGGGGTTGAGCTCGCAGTGGCACTTCGGGATAAAAATACATGTGTGACCAGCATTGCTTAGCACACACTCTCTTCGGCCACCACTTGTACTTGTACATGCAGCACACAACTGTTTCAAAGTGTGGCCTATTGTCTTTGCAGTACACTTTTTAAAGAAAATAAAACCCTCCTCCACCTCCTTAAAACTCTGAAGGAACTTTTTTCAGTGTACTGCTGTATACTTATCTCATTAGATGATGTAATGGCCTCCTCCACCACCTTCTCCAATACCCTTTCTTGCCAAGTCTTCACTTGACACTGTTGTCCCACCAGTGGCTCCTCCCATGGCATCTGAGGACAGCTGTATCTCTCAGAGAACAATACATACAGTTATTAGGAACCACTTATTAACTCTTCAACAAAATTAAAGTGATTGCCAGTAAATGTCATGTAGATTGTGGGCCTCGTGTTATCGACCTGTTGAAAAGAGTCTACTAGATATGGTCCACGCGTAACATATTGACCAGTTGGTATGTCATACAGAGCAATGTTGGTGCCTAGGAGATGAGATAGGGCAGCTACCTCAACATCCGTACCCCAACTACGATCCTGGTCCATTCTGTGCTGTTGGAGGTGATCCTCCGCACTGGAGCCGATCAGAGTGGTTTCCAGACTTTCGCTGAGGCCATCTCGTCTCAGTGACCTCATTTGCTCAACAATCTGAGAGCGGAGTCTGGAATGCTCTCTCTCTGAACCTGTAATGGCATGGGAAAGAGCACGGAACAGACATTTCTATCACCTCTAACTGTTTTGCACTTTGTGGGGCGTTTCAGGGGAACATCTGCACCACCTGGTGTGCTACCATTGGCTCTAACAAAGGGCAAACCCAGTTGCTGACATGCCTGTTGCTGCCAGTCTACAGACACCGGGTTGTATCTCTGCCGACTGCGAACTGAACAGATTTCTCGCGCAGGACTTTCCGCAGTTTTCTTTGGCGGAGGTTCACTTTGTGCAGCATCTGCAGGCTCTTCCTTGAGAGAGACACTGGTGGTCGCTCTTTCCTCCACCTGGGGCTGAGGCTGAGTGGAAGGAGCACACATAGGTGGTTGTGTACCCTTCACGTCAGCTACCTGGAGCTGAGGCTGAGTGGAAGGAGTACACACAGGTGGTTGTGCACCCTTCACGTCAGCTCCCTTGGTGTTCCGACTGGTCTTAGTTTTCTTGAGAGTACACACAGGTGGTTGTGCACCCTTCACGTCAGCTCCCTTGGTGTTCCGACTGGTCATAGTTTTCTTGAGATAGGGGACAAGTCTGTCCAGACTGCCACTCATCTTCCGTTTTCGGTTCTGTGCAGTTCCGTTCTTCTCCCTGGGTACAGAGTACTGTGGCAGGTCTGGGCGGTATGTCTCCCTCAACCGATTGATCTCCTGCAGACACTTGGCACTGACCTTGAATGCCTCTTCATCAAATGCAATCAAATGCAGGTTCTGCATTTGTCTCACACGTGACAGTGCCACGTACGCCATGCCTGCACAAAGCACTTGCTTTGACAGGTCCATGATGGCACAGTCCAACGACAGTGACGGCAAATGCCAGGATGAGTGGGAACTGTTTCCGCTGAACAAACACATTCTTGAGCACCACGAACCTACCCTTTACCATCTCGACAGGTAAGGCTGTGTCATTCCGTCAAACTGTACTGTGATATGGTGGGCTTTGTATTTTATGGCTTTGCACACAAGTTAGTTTCTATGTACACACATGTTGCACACAATTTTCGAACCGTTTTTTTGTTATCCTAATTAATGTGTGTAACATCGTTTCCATGACGACCACAACAACAAATAGCCTCAGACACTTTTCTTTAAAATTACTTCTTCACTCCTCAAACTTGATAACAGCAGCACACATTGAGTTGGTACACATGTATTACATCATTTCCATGACGACCACAGGCATTCTTCTCTATTATTAATTTTTATAGGGGGCTCACAGAGATATACGTAGTAGTATATAAAAATGAGTGGAGACAAGTAAATTAAAAATCTTGCAAAAGAGGCATATAAAAAAAATGGGAGAAAAGATAGGGATGGGGTACATGAAGCATTGTTAATGAACAGATTTGAGTATGCTG